AAGATGGACCGCTAGAATAATCCCCGATCTAGAGAAGTGGATAAATAGAAAACACGGTGAAACGTCGTTCTATTTTACACAACTACTCTCCGGACATGGATACTTTCGAAAGTATCTGAATAAGATGGGAAAAACTGCTGAATCCAGCTGTATTTACTGCGAAAATGCAATGGACGATGCAGAACACACTTTCTTCAACTGCAACAGGTAGTCGGAAGAAAGAATCGACCTGGCAGAAACAGTCGGTGAAGTCAAAGAGACATTAGTACAGCAAAAGTGCAGTAGCATAGATGCTTGGAAAACAGTCTATGACGAAAAGGTTCTTCGGCGGAAGAAGTATGACCTGGACGCAGGCACAGAGAGGGCAATGCTTATTTAGAGCACAATATGGGGCTCCACCTTGAAGGTTAATGCGGGATAACTCCTGGTTCCAAGGTGGTTTCGAGCCCCAGAAGAGGAGGATTTTTTAGTCGGTAAGCAATCCGACACACCGGTCAGAGTGACGACGTGACTACACCGTAAAGCATTTTTTCCTACCTCAACCCACGAAAAAAAAAAAAAAAAAAGAGTACGCTAACATTTTGTCTTATCAATAAATTATTAAACAGAGATATCCACTTTTAGATGTTTTCACATTAACAATTATGTATTGTTACTAATCAGAGAACATAAAGACCGGACATCTAGTGTAAAGCGTTTTGCAACCAATTTTTTTCGAGCATTAGTGTTCTCTGGTTAGTGGTATAATTAAAAAGAAAAACGGATAAAGTTATGTAGGTGTTTCAGAAGAGAGAGTTAAAAAAACACTACCAATTAATTACATTCTTTATTATAATTTCCTAGAAGCCATGAGAATTAAAATGAATTGTATTTTTATTTTCGATAGCTTAAGACTTAATCTCTCTCAAAAATAAATGTAAATAATAAATAATAACATAGAAGTAATTAAACTGAACATTTAGAAAATATCTTATTTATTATTATTTTCTATCCGAGCTCAGTATTTTTAAAAGCATTTTTGGTATTTTGGGTTATTATTTATTATTATTTTATATCCGAGCTCAGTATTTTTAAAAGCATTTTTGGTATTTTGGGTTATATTGCTGCAGTCACACTTAAATTTAGCAGTGTGAAAATTGTGTGTTTATAATCAATTTTAACTTAAATTATTAAATAAATCTGAGGCAAGAGTAATTAAAAATGCCCTTACTAGAATCGGATAACGCCAATGAGCAATTCTATAATGAGCAATCCAAGCCGATGTCCGGGCCCATCATTGGCATCATATACCCGCCACCGGAAGTTAGAAGCATCCTTTTATAAATAAATTAATATAAAATTTCTTATTTATTATTTAGAAACATTAAATAGGTTTTCTTTAGACTCAATTAATAATAATTAACTAAATAGATATTGTTGATAAGACCGCCAGCTTCGTTGCGCGGAATGGACCGGAGTTTGAGGCTCGCATCCGGCAAAACGAGCTTGGCAATCCGAAATTTAACTTCTTGAACGGAGGAGATCCATATCATGCGTATTACCGGCACAAGGTTAATGAATTCCGAGAAGGCAATGGTAAGTATTTGAGTTAGATAAAAGTATACTTTTATTGTAATTTTCCTTTATTCTAATAGATAACAGCAGCTCGGCTGTAAGCGGCATAAAGCAGTTAGCCGTGACGAGTGCTGCGCAGCAACGGCAGCAGGAGCTCTTAAAGCAGGTAGTGGAACAGCAGTTCGTACCAAAGGAGCCGCCACCTGAGTTCGAATTCATCGCTGATCCTCCTTCGATTTCCGCATTAGACTTGTAAGTTGATTCAGAATACATAATAACTGAATATATATACTATAATGCTAATCTTGTAGAGACATCGTCAAATTAACCGCTCAGTTTGTGGCCCGAAATGGACGACAGTTTCTCACGAATCTAATGAGCAGGGAACAGCGAAATTTTCAATTTGATTTCCTCAGACCCCAGCACTCGCTATTTCAATATTTTACCAAGCTATTGGAGCAATACACCAAAGTGCTGATTCCTCCAAAAGATCTACTGGCAAAGTTGCGTGCGGAGAGTGCCCCCGGGCGGGCAAGTATGGTCCAAGTGCTGGAGCAGGTCAAATATCGAGCCAATTGGCAGCGACATCAGGAGGCACAGCGGCGCCGGGAAGAGGAAAAAGTAGAACGTGAACGTGTCGCCTACGCGCAGATCGACTGGCATGATTTCGTCGTAGTAGAGACGGTCGACTATCAGCCCTTTGAGAGCGGAAACTTCCCACCGCCAACAAATCCCGACGAAGTTGGTGCTCGTGTACTGATGGAAGAACGATTAATGGAGGAAGAAGGCGACATAGAAATGCAAATCGAGTCTGATGAAGAGGAAGACTCTCCACTGGTTAGTCATATGGACAGTGGCGTTAAACTATCGCAAATGGAAAATCGGGTGGGAATTCAAATGAAGAACTCTACAGCTTATGGACAACCTTTGAGCACAAATCGTGACAACACTCAGGTTCAAGACATGGACGAGGCCTCTAGTGATGAGGATACGCCCACTACAAAAATGCAGCCGGCTGTTGCGCCAATGTTACCTCCTACCCACGACAAGGTCGTGGTCAAGAAATACGATCCAAAGGCGGCGCAAACAAAGCCGGTGCAAGCTCCTACAGATGAGTATCTAATATCTCCGATTACTGGCGAGAAGATTCCGGCTTCCAAGGTGTCAGAGCATATGCGTATTGGCCTCTTGGATCCACGCTGGGTCGAGCAACGGGACAAGCACACCGTGGAGAAGATCAACCAAGACAATGTCTTCGCAGCGGGAACGGCCATTGAGGCCAGTCTGAAACAATTGGCCGAACGACGTACCGACATTTTTGGCGTAGGTGACGAGGAAACCGTCATCGGAAAGAAGCTCGGGGAAGAGGAAACCAAAAAGGACGACCGCGTTACCTGGGACGGCCACACGTCCAGTGTGGAGGCAGCAACGCGGGCAGCTCGCGCCAATATAACACTTGAAGATCAAATACATCAAATCCACAAAGTCAAAGGTCTGCTGCATGACGAAGAGAAAGAAAAAATCGGACCGAAACCTGTGGGCAACAAAGCGACGTTGTCTGCTCCACCGCAGCCACCTACTAAGAACCAGCACAGCAGCAGTCATCAGCACAGCCAAGCCCATCAAGGCCAGCATCATCAAGGTGGCATGCCGCACCACCACGCGCAGCACCATCATCATCAGTCGCAGCAACAGCCGCCGTCGCTCCATCAACACCATCAGCAGCAGCAACATGGCATGTCTCAGACCTCTAATCCAGTTATGATGATGCAGAGACCGCCTATGATACGTATGTAATGCATTTATAGTTTAACGATAAATCTAAGTAATGTCCTCTCTTTTGTTTTAGCGACACCTTATGGCGGTGGCTCCAGTGGGTACATGGGTATGCCACCCGGCAACAATCCACAACAGATTTCACCAGCACCTCCAGTCGAGCTGATGCCTGTTGAGGAGGAGCCGCCTACTAAGAAGATGCGCTCCGAAGATAATTTGATACCCGAAGCAGAGTTCATAGCCCAACACAAGGTTAGTTACAGCCTATATACCACTATGGATTGATACTTATTTAAATTCTGCGGTTTTCAGAGTCCTGTGACCATACAGGTGCAAGTGCCGAACACGGACAAATCGGAATGGAAGCTAAATGGGCAGATGATTGCCATTACCCTTGCGCTTACTGATCCGATTGCGAATCTTAAATCCAAGTTGCAGGACGAAACGGGAATGCCCCCAGCAAAACAGAAAATATTCTACGAGGTAAGCTCGATTTGCATACTTAGCTCTGACCAAATCCTGTAGTCAAAGTTTGCATTTCATTTCAATCTTGCAGGGTATGTTCTTTAAGGATAGCAATACCATGGCATTCTACAACTTGCTAAGCGGCACTACGGTGCATCTGCAGGTCAAAGAACGCGGCGGCCGAAAAAAGTAAGCAGCTTGCGCCCGATGCTAGAATACATTTTCAATATGTCAAACTTTATTTTTTGTGAATACTTAATCGAACAATATAAAAGTGGTTAATCACAGAGTTTTTTTTTTTTTGTTAATTGCACTTTAGTCTTGTATGCCGTTATAAGAAATGAAGACTGGAATGTGGAATTGAAAAACTTGACAGATATCCAAATCATGGGACGCAAAGTAAGAAGAGACGGACGACCACTTGTTGAGTTTGTGGTGACCGTATCATGAGAATTAGTTTAATGACCAAACTGGCTCTCTAGGATGTGGGCCATATCCCTATACCTCTGTAGCATGGGCGTGTAGATGGACCCACTATCCTTATTAGGTTCGCAAACGAGCTTTAAATGGTTTGGGGTCTGGCCCAAGATAAAGTTGCGATAGCTTTTAATAGACTCCGTGTTGCTAATGTGATGCAGATGATACGCATAGGCTGCCCGATATGCAGCACCAAGAAGAGCTGCCTCGCTTTCATTCTGAAAAACAAAACAGCAATCGTAAAAATACCATTTCAAGCAATTTTGAATTATTATTTACTTGTGTGTAAACTGGTGCATTGAAGACATCGGCAATGACTTGCAGTATGGACTTGTTGACGGATGCACCGCCAGTAACAAGAATATTTGTCTGGCTGCCAAAGTGGAAGCCCATATCCTCCGCGATAGCTCGATGATGCAGCATTTGACCCTCGACTAAAGCACGAATCTCAATTTGCGGCGAGCTGAATCTATTAAAAGAGCCAATGAGAGCTTCAATTTTGTCACTCAAATGGTTTCCATCTTTTCACTCACTTAAGCACACCCTTTGCAGCATCGTGCGAACTGCTGTTCATATCCTTGTTCCAGCGCAGCGTTCCTTTAGCTTTTGGTATAATCTCCATCTCATTAAAGTGCAGTGCCATATTTCCGAAATTGCCTCGTGGCGTCGAGTCTAACAGTTCATTGAATCTTTCCCAGTTGTTATCAGCTTCAGATTTTTTTAACGCTTCACGAACGAGTGATCCATTTCTAAAACTATGAAATCATTTTTAGTGATCTGCGCAAAAACGATCTTTGTATACCTACCATAAAAGACCCATATATTCATGAGATTCAGTCGGGTGACATAGGACATGTCCCTCTTCCAAATTGGGGGGCTCGTCTAAGGTCATCATAAGCGTATCACTAGTTCCCAGCGAGATACTCAGCCAGTTCTTGTCGACAAGCATTCCGGCCAAAGCAGACGGATTGTCTCCCGTACACGCTACCACTTTGCATGTGGGTGGAAAGCAAAAGCGCTGCACGAAATAGTCACTCACATTGCCAAGAATGGAAAATCCACTGACTGGTTCCCCAAGGCGCTCCTCCAGATCTGGCGCACAAGCATTGAGACACGTTTTTGACCACGTCTTATTACGAATATCCAACAGATTCATGCCGGAGCCGTCGGCATAGTCAATGGACGCCACTTTTCCCAGAAACAGCGAGGCCAGAAAACTGCTGACTAATGAAATACGCCGTGCGTCCTCATATGCATGTGTGCGTTGCTGGTAAATTTTGCGAATTTGTGGTCCTGTGAAGCGCGCGTAGCACTTGGAGCCCGTCTTCTGAACCATTTCAGTATGCCCACCAATAGCCGTCTCCATTTCAAAGCATTGCTTTAATGTAGACGCATCCATCCATATAGGCGTTCGGTTAACAACAAACGCTGAGTCGTCGATTTGCGCGTGCAAAAACTTATCGGCATCTAAGTTTTGTAGAGCCGTAATGCCGTGCTTCGACCAGTAAAGAGAGCCGTGCTGCTGAGCAGATCCACTAATGGCGAGGACAGTGCTAAGGTCTACCTCCTGCATCACTAAACGATCCAACACAATATCCATTGCCTTAACCCACATCACCGGCTGAACAAAGTACCTAATACATTTAGACTTTCGTTAGCTAGAGAGTTCCTTGAGTTCACTACGGTTTACTTACTCGAATTTATTGGGGCCTGGGTTCGCCCCACCTATGGTTCGAAACTCCGGTAAGTCGCTATCGAATTTAGCCTCAGCTGTGGCAACCACGTTCAGTTCTGAATTCAAAAGGATGGCCTTTAGCTGAAACGGGCAAAGTTGTCATTGTAACTACGGCAGACACACCTCAAAATTA